GATTTTACTAATTTAGTAGAAAACATGATCGAGTCAGTCAACTAATGTGTTAACAAAAAACTACAACTTGGTCAACCAGCCTTTAAAAAGTTTCCTACATTTTTTGGTCCACAAACATAGATAGCTAAGATAATGTGTGTATATATATAAATATGAATATATACATATATATATTCATATTCTCAGGTAAGTAAAGTTCTTAGCTTCCGCAAATAATTACAAGGTAGTGACTAATTTTATATTTCTATTGCCTGTCTCTTGCTAGTAGGAAGGCTAACCATATACTAACTGTACAATTTTTCTTCTTAAAAAGAAGAGTGAAATAAAATTATACACATAGACTATATAGTGCATTTACATTTTCAGTGTCTTTTCACACATGTGCGTGCACACACACACACTTTGTACGTGCTAGACATAAATTCCTATACCTCCTGCATGAATTTTCTGTTGCTTTGTGATTCAGTAGAATTGGTGATACACACACACCTGCTGAAATATACCAAGGGCAGTTAACACAATTCAAGAAATATAGCAAGAATACTGATATATGGAGAGTATGGACTTTAAAATTTAATGTCTATGTATTTGAAAAACTAAGTTGAAAAACTTTATTATCCGTCAAATAATAGTATAGTTGTAGTATTTAAGAGTGGTAGGAGTCGTATAATATTGGGGTCCTGTCACCTGGGTTCAAATTTTGCTCTACCACTGACTAGTTTTATGACTTTGGACAAGATACTTAACCTTTCTGTGCCTCCATTTCCTCATATGTGAAATGGGGGTGATAGGTACTACACGGTTGCTGTGAGGATTAAATAGTGTACTTTCTAGTGAAGTGGTTAAAATAATGGTTGGCACATAATCATTCAGTATACCTCAGTCATTATATTTCCTAGCTAATGTATTCAATGTTTTCTCAGAAAATTTCACTAAAGTGGATATTTTTTATTAAAGCCTATTCTTTTTTTAAATTTATTTGAGAGAGAGAGAGCATGGTAGGGAGGGGCAGAGGGAGAGATCGAATCTCAAGCAGACTCTGTGCTGAGAGTGAAGCCTGATGCAGGGCGCAATCTCAATACCCTGAGATCATGACCTGAGCTGAAACCAAGAGTTGGACACTCAAATGACTGGGCCACACGGGTGCCCCTAAAGTCCATTCTTTTCAACACAAACTTTTCTTTTAACCATCTTTTGTGAAAACCTTTCTAAAAGTATTAAATGTTCTATTAGATTGTACAGATGTTCTGAAGATAATGTATTTTCCTATTGATTCAGGGTCATGACAAATGACATTTTTGATCAATTATTTATCAGTCATTTATCATGTATAAAAACTAAATGTAGGAGAAAAAATTTTAACACAGCTTTCTAAAATAAAAAATTACAGGGATACCTGGGTGGCTCAGTTGGTTAAGCGTCTGCCTTTGGCTCAGGTCATGATCCCAGGGTCTTGGGATCGAGTCCCCCATCTAGCTCCCTGGTGAGTGGAGAGCCTGCTTCCCTCTCTGCCTGCCACTCCCCCTGCTTGTGCTCTCTCTCTCTCTCTCTGACAAATAAAATCTGTAAAAAGTAAAAATAAAAAATTTTACATTTTAAATTGTATATATGTTTGTTACAGAAAATAAGCAATCAGTGAAAGACTTGTTAACATGCCCCCCATGGCCTTTACTAAAAAAAAGGTAACAGTGTGCGACTCTTAAGGTGCACTACTTAAAGGAGTTCCGTTATTGGAGAGTATATATTGAACAGTGCATTCAGAGCTGAGGCAATAAATTGATAACTGATACAATATATGAGTTTAAGGAGGAAAATGAATGATGTAAAATTTTCAAATGATCAAGAGCTTATTGCAGTTTTTAAATGGATGGGTGGAAGTAGGTACTGAATAACTTAGGGCATTTAGATCCCGTTATATACATTTTTAAAAGTGATGTTTATAGTTCATTTTAATTATAGTTAACATTTATATACACTGTGATTATGACCAGCTTTATATGTTTAACTTAAAAATGTGCAAAGGAGTTTTTCAAAACTTCTTTAGGATTTTTAGGTCTGTGAGAACAAAAAAGATCAAAGGTATACGGTGTTAGAGAATACATCTAGAAGTGACATTGCTGGGTTATAGGGCAGAGGCAACTTCAACTTTACAAGATGTTGCAAATTTGCTCTTTAAAGTGGATATTCAAGTTCCAACTGTCAGTGTTTCCCTCTTCCTTGTCAACACTTGGAATTATATTGCCCTCATTTTTCAGACATGAAGGATGACTCAAGTGAAAATTTATTCACCATATATACCTTCCATTTTCTTTTTACAACCAGCAGCCCAGGTTAGCTTGTAGATTGTACCAGAGTGATGCCCTTCCAGGCTGAGTTCTGGGGTGGCTAGGAGCCCCGGCTGGGTGGCTCCCAATGCTTTTATTTTCTTCTTGGAGCACAGCACACAGAACGGCCGTGGGCACTCACTACTCGCCTGTGAGATGCACAGGCTCCATTGTCCATCACGGGCAAGGAGTGTCTGTGAAGCTGTGAGAGAAGTGTGTCCCAGGTGTCCGAGGAGCAGGTAGGAAGCTGGGTGTGAAACCCCAGATGTAGCTGGTTGGCTTTGAGGGGCTTGGACCTGAGGGGCAGGAGGAGGGCTCCCTGCAGGCTTCTGACTGCCTTCATATAAATCAGGTATTTCTGTCTGTTGGCGGCTGATGAGTGCTCTCTGTGGTGGCTAAACTAGCAGCAGGATTACGTGTGGGAGACTACAAATTAGAGCTTTGTCATTATTTTCAAATGAAAAAATCACTTGAATTTGAAATTCACATTATAAGAAATCTCAACATTATATTTACCATTTTGTTCAGAGCTGTTACTTTTTTTTTAAGATTTTAGTTATTTGAGAGAGAGAGCACAAGTGAGGGGAGGGGCAGAGGGAGAGGGAGAAGCACACTCTCCTGAGTGGGGAGCCTGACACGGGGCTTGATCCCCAGACCCTGAGATCATGACCTGAGCCAAAGGCAGTTGCTTAACCGACGGAGCCACCCAGGTGCCCTGCTGTTAGACTTAAGTATAATTTCAGCAGCATAAATTTTTGAATGGTTGTGAAAAAAAGTTTAAAAATTATCACCTATTTGTGGGGTGTTTCTCATTGGTGGCAATATTAAAAATTTGAAGAGGTTATCAGTTAAAACATTCGACAAGATTTTATTTGAAAGTTCTATACAAATTTAGTATTTCCCCTAATCTGCATTTTGTCTCATCAATTATATAATAAACAATGATTTTCCACCCTGTACAGTTTTTTTCCAGTTTATACCAGTATGCTGTACAATATTTTCTGTAGCTGTCAGGGCATGATAAAGGTTAGGAAGCATTGGTATAGAGTAGTTTGATGGTTGGATATTATTATTCACCCCTGCTTGTGTGTTACTCCATTTGCACCATGTTGTTACTGGCTTCAAAAAGATCCCGTCTGATGCATGCCATAGCCCCTGCCAAGTTAGTTTCTGAATCCTTGTTTAGCCATAAGCACACTGTCCTTCCCAAGACCCACCCCACCAACTCCCTACCTTCTTTATTCCTAGGGTAGTGGGGGAAATGGGGAAACAGTTTTAGCTATGTAAATCTCATATAATTTAGTAAGCTATGTTTTGAAAATATTTTATTTAATACATTTGTTCAGAGAGGATCTTTTTTTTTTTTTTTTAAGATTTTATTTATTTATTTGACATAGACATAACGATAGAAGGAACACAAGCAGGGGGAGGGGGAGAGGGAGAAGCAGGCTTCCCGCTGAGCAGGGAGCCCGATGCGGGGCTCGATCCCAGGACCCTGGGATCATGACCTGAGCCGAAGGCAGACGCTTAACGACTGAGCCACGCAGGCGCCCCTGTTCAGAGAGGATCTTATGTATGTCTCTGAGCTGTTAGGTCAACAGTTAAAACTTCTAGGGAAGAATCAGAGTTTTAGATAACCAAGTCCAATCCCTCATTTTACCGATGAGGAAACTGAAGCTCAAGGGAGAGTCTGCTTATGTAGCATTAGAGTTTACAGTATAATAGATGCTGAGCCTCCCACTTTAGTGCTTTACTATACCAACCTTCACTTGTGTACTATTCATACATGTTAGTAGACTTTTTTTTCATATATTTTGGGTACTATTTTTGTATTTTAAATAATAAACATGTTGATTCATTCAAAAGAGATATGCCTAGAAAACAAGGAAGCAGTAGGTATAATGACAGTTGCTTGTGAACACTAGATTATTCCAAGGTGAGGAGGCAGTGTCTGAAAGAAGAGTGAGTGTCTGGAATGATTAAGGAAAGACAGATGAAGGAAAAGAGCCATTTTCTATCATAACTGATAGCTGTTTGTCTCAACAACCAAGAACAAAGATTACAAAGCCAAACTAAAGCAATATAGGGGTTTATGAACTGTTTAATACGGGCATACTGAAGTATTTTTGCATCCAGTATAGGAACTGTAAAAAGTTCTTATAGTCTATAAATTATGTTTTACCATATCAATAATGTTCTAAATGCATAATACACTTGGGTTTTGTGCTAACCAGTCTGTTTGCTTTTAAGCTTGTATTTTGCCAAAGTTAGTTAAAAAAATTAAAACCCTTCAAACTATTTAACCTAAGACTTTTTTTTTTTTTTTAAGATTTATTTATTTGAGAGAGAGAGAAAGTGCGTGAGCAGGGGGAGGAGGGGCAGAGGGAGAGAGAGAGAGAATCTCAAGCAGACTCCCCACTGAGCATGGAGCCCGGCTCGGGGCTCAGTCTCATGACCCTGAGATCACGACCTGAGCTGAAATCAAGAGTCAGATGCTTAACTGACTGCACCACCCAGGTGCCCCTAACCTAGGACTTTTTATGAAATATTCCCAAATTTCAGCTTTGCTGCACCAGACTACAACAGTAGCTTACATGATTACACATGATATAAAGATTATTACAGTTTAACACTCAAAGTTTTCATGCTTTGTATACAATAAAATATATTACAATGGCCACTTTTTAATGCTTTATTCATTGATTAAAAGAATATACATTTAACATAAACCATTCAACATCAGTCATCAGGTCAAACATTCAGCTGGTTTCCTTACAGTTTCTGTCAGGATTTATTTTATCTGATCACATTTATAAGATAAAATCTCACCACATCTGGCATTTACACACACTGTGCCAGTGGATTCACACTACTGATGTACATATAAAATCCTCATGGTATGTGCTCACTGGAGACAAAACAGTGCACACCTGTCAAAAGGTCATTTTAATATAAGATGGTAAAACCATTTGTAAAATACATATAAACTTTTTCCATAAATAGAATCATATCTGGACATCTGTTGCATAAATTGTGTTTCCAAAGCTTACAATAGAGCAGCCAGGTCTCAGCACTGCTGGGCACCCACGTTGGCTACTTACTTTATTATTGCAGACTGTCCTTTAACATTAAATGCACAACATTCGTACCACTTAAAACTGGGGTCAGGTGGAAGTCTCACAGAGACCACGTCTGTACCGCGGTTGCCCTGAAACAGTTAAGTCGGCTTTTAAAGCCTCTCAGATATAACAAGGTTTTAAAACATACTTCATGGAATGTTCTTCATGTATCATAGCAGCTCATACCTGTGATAGAACAAGCTTTCAGTTTTTCCTTTCTTTCCTTTACATTCACTATTCACAGTGAAACAGGTGCATGGTTTTTTTTTCTTTTTTTTTTGTTTTGTTTTTTCAGAGTTCTGAGGTTGCTGACTGAGCCACAGCACAGCTGTGTACCACAGGTCGAAATTCGACCTTAAATATTACAATCTAGCAGTATCTGGCTGGCCAGAGTGGGCCGGCCCCTGCCAGCATGTGGGCACTTCTTCAGTTAAGTCTATTCTTTGGCAGCTGACACGCGCGCTGACAGAGAAAAATCCAGTGACTCGTTGCTAGGGATTTCACGACTAATGTGTGTTTGCAAGCATGTGTGTTTACAACTGTGTTTTTTTATTTTCTTTTAAGGAGGTTTTTACCCTGGAATACAGTTTCTTCCTCCACTATTTGAAATCTGGGCTAAAAAGCTAACTTGAATGTATAATGTAATTGATGAATAAAATTATGTCAGATGTAGTTTTAAAAAAAGTCTAACAATTTGAGTATTCATGTTTATGTAAATGCATTTTTTTAAAAAAAGGATTAAGCAGTGTTCTAACCTAGTACTATACAAAATTCAGAATGGCAATTGGTGATCTCAACTATTATATATGTAATGAAAGTTAAAGTCTTGGCTTTTCTGTTAGAGATAACTCATTTGGAATCATACTATCCTCCCTTCTTCCATTTCAAATAAAAATTAATGAAATGCTATCAGAAGCATGAATGCGGTGCATTGCATACAAATCCACCAGGCTATGGATATATATCTATATATGTATAAAAATATTTTGGCTCCTGAGCTCTGAACTCTGACACACAAAGAATAAAAACATCAAAAGGCAGAGTAACTCAGTGAAAAATAAAGTTAGCCAGCAACCTCAGACAACCTTCGGTTGTATATCCTTAAGATGTGATAACAAGTCCATTAACCGTGAAAGCCCTACACATTGTCACTTTGAACTTCTAAACCAATACCCGACTACGTTCTTTGATCAAGAAGTAGAATATATATATAATTCTATAAAGCTAATACTGATTAAACACAGCACAAAGGGATTAAATTCACACTACTAAAAAAAAACATAATAGGACCCTACTTGCATATGTAACCACAGGAATTGTACATTTAAAAAAAAGCTAAATGTCTTCGCTGAAGCTTTGCATCTCTCTGTAAAAATGACGATTTGGTTCAGTGAAGACACTGAGTGATTCGATGTCCATGACAGCGTGCCAAGGTTGACCCAGGCCCAGGGATACCTGCTCAATAAGGTTATGCACTGGATCCACATCCTGGTCGGCCAGTTCACCTTGGTCAAAATCAATGCTTTCTTCAGTGACTTCAAGTACTTTTAGATCAGAGCCACGAAGACGAGCAATGGCAATGAGGTTGTGCGCCCACACTGTGTAACCTTCAAAATAAACCAAAGACAAACACTGTCATTTCCTTGCATTTTATTTTATCTATTTGATAAGTTAGTCTTTTCCACAAACTTGTATCTCACTGACCACTTTGGTCCTTTTCTTTTAAAAATATACTGAGATTGGAAAAGGAAGTATGATTGTTTAGCTCAAAAAAAAAAAAAAAAGACTAAGTTTGATATTGTTTCCAACATCACTGTGGCTGGTGAATTGGTAGGTGCTGTAATCCTATTCCGATATCAGTACATTTAGTAAGATTGAAGACATTTAAAGTAAAACTTTATAGCTTTGGATAGTGCTGTATCATAAACAAATTTTTATTTCATATATGTATCCATTAATGATACACAGGAAACTTATTTTTAGTGAGTAAAAAATCCTCTCCTATGATGCTTCACAGTCCAAAGTTAAGAAGTGACACTCTAAACTGTTAATTGCCAGTAAAAAATATGTAAAGTATAAAACAGTCATGGATTACCTCTGGGAATGAATAAAGGGGAATGGGTATAGGGGCTTCAGCTGTATCTAATACCTTATTTCTTATTTCTTAAAATAAAAGCTTAGACTGGCTGAAATTAACCTTTAATATATAGTGTTGGGTAATCTTATAACAAGTTGAAATGCATTTCTTTGCTGCTACCTCTGATGACTGGCCAAATTATAAAGCAAAACTTGAAAAGCAAGACGCACACTTTCCTGCACTAATGCAGGCTAAAAAATTAATTTAAAAAACAAGGAAACACAACTAAAAGAGTTTAAGACATTCGTATGGTCTATTTTGTATTCTGTAAATATCTTACATGTTCCAGAAAAGGAAGTAAAATGTTCTTCTAACTTGTCAGAATAGCAACTCTCTCTAAATGAGAATAGTTAACATTAAGATGAAAGGCACCAGTAAGAAAAAAGCATATACCCAATCAATGGAATCATCATTTAAAAAAATATACAAATTAATATGTTAATATCTAGAATCTAGAAGATGAGGCAGCAAGCAAGAAAGAAATCATACTTTCTCTTCCTTCTGTATTATGTTTTTAAGAGATCTTGTGATTAGAGGAAGAAATACATCTACTGCAAGTAGATATGTTTTCTTCGATAGATCAATTAATTTCAAATGCCATTCTCATGAAATACCATCAATCACATGGTGGAAGAAAAAAGTAACACGGAAGCCGGAGCAAGAACATTTAAGAGTAGAGGGACGCCTGGGTGGCTCAGTAGGTTAAGCGTCTGCCTTCGGCTCAGGTCATGATCCCATGGTCCTGGGATCGAGTCCCACATTGGGCTCCTGCTCAGCAGGGAGCCTGCTTCTCCCTCTGCCCGCCACTCTCCCTGCTTGTGCTCTCTCTCTCTGACAAATAAATAAAAAAAAAATCTTAAAAAAAAAGAACACTTAGAGCTATAGCAATATGACTTTCTACTTGTTAAGTGGTATATCTTATAAATTATTAAAAAGTATAAAAACCTGCATTTCAGCTTTTTAGATTACTCAACACTATAAATGTCATTGCTATCTTTTTACTGGTTTAAAATATTTTAGATGTAATATAAATAACAAATTAAACTGAGCAAAAATCACCTACCGTGAATTGCCAGAAGAGAGAGCTTTGTGCACCTCCATGCTAATAAAACCAATGGATCTTCATTTCGGTTGTCACTAAGATCTGGAAAACCAGACGTGTCAATTACATCATTCATTAATATAAAATGAGTGAGGAACTTATCATACTGCCTGGATATAAGATCAACAATAGCTCCTGAAACACAAGTGATGTAGCTGTCAAAATGAATCCTCTCTAGTGGTATACTGGGTTTCAGAATCTTTAACATATCTTCACTCTTGATATCAAAGGCCATTATGTAGACCCGAAGGCTGGTGCTCTTCCGTGACAAGGCTTTCCAATGCTCATCATTTGGCATGTTGTCCAGAGACTTGTGCATCACGGAGACATTGTGGACCAGGAGAGACAGTCGCTGCAAAGGCACATGGTTGCTATCGGTTAAGACTCTTGCCATCTCAGCTGTAAAGTCACAGAAATCCAGGGCAAGTGAGCGCAGATTCACGAATCGCTCCAGTTCGACTGTGGTGATAAGGGTGCTGTTACCAGGAATATTGTTGTCCAGCAAGCTCAGGTGCTCCATGGTGTTGGCAATAGAGTTTGAGAGAGATGACAGTGATGTTGGGGTTACTATTTCCAGCATAAACCCACAGGACAGCCATTTCAGTTGCCTACTATTACTCAGTATTTCTTCGAACAGCTGCTGAATTCTGTATGGAAAACACATGCCACAACGATCCTGTTAACATTTAGTGCTAATCTTTTAACACCGACTTTTGAAACTGGGCAGTGAAATGGCATGCAATGTTGAGATCCATTTTCTCTCAGTTAATTTCTAACCAACCCCCAAGTAGTAATATCATAAATACCATTAAAATTCACATTCAAATATAATGAATAAACTGTATCAGACCCATGGATATATTAAACATATAAAAATATGTTCTTCACCCAAGGAAAGCAGCATTTTGTACCAGTATGGTAGAAAAGACTGATGATATGCAATTTATGTTACAGTGAAGGCAAGCAGAAAAATAAGTTTTAAATAGCAATAATTACCCAGCAAATTCTCTGTCTTAAAGATTTATAATGTGGAATAGCATATTTCATAGGTAAAACATTTCCAATTTACAGGACATATGTTCTTTTTAGAAAAAATACTACTCTTCTGATTGTATCTTACAATTTCTCAGAAAAAAACTAAAATTATTATTAGCGTAAGCCCCCTTCCACAACTATGTAACTTACTGTTTAATTTTTTTGCCATCAGGATCCACCTTGCTGAGGTATGTATTTGACAAACTTCCTTGCTGTTGTAGAACACTTATGTCTCCAAAAAGGCTAAACTTCTGGAGGTTCCTACAAGAAAAGTAATTTAAAATAACTAATATATAAAAATATAAATACTAAAAATAGAAATGTAGAAGGGATATCTACAAAAGTTTCTACCTTATAACTCACTTAAAATCCACTTAAGTACTTTCAGATTGCTTTTTACATACAATGAAAAACAACATAATACAGGAGAAATAGCAAAAGCTTTACAGAATGAGGACTGAGGTATAAAGCTTAGTTCAGGAACTCAGTATTTTAATGACCATGGAAAAATGTTCATGCATTGTTTCCCTGATTTTATTTAGTTGTCTATGTTCTCTTGCATGTAACTGAGCTTCTTTGAGATGATTACCTTGAATTATTTGTCAGGCAGTTCATCTCTATTTCCTTGGGGTTGGTTACTGGAACTTTATTAGTTTCCTTTGGTGGTTCCATGTTTGCCTGATAATTTTAATGATCCATGTAGCCTGGAATTGGTGTCTGAATTTGGAGGAACAAACATCTCTTCGAATTTTTGTAGGTTTCTGCGGGTAAAGATCTCCTCCTATTGGGTCTCCAGACTGATGAGACTACCTCTAGGACCACAGTCAAGTTAGGCTGAGGCCAGGTCACATGGCTGCTGCTGGGCCTGCACTGGGGTCTATGGTTTGTGGACCCCATTACCAGACACTTGGTGTCTGATCTCTTGGCAGACAGGATTGCCTCTGAGTCCTTGGTCAGTAGGGCTGGTGCTGGGACAAGGTCTGCTGTTAGGTCCGCAGACAGCTAGCCTGTTACTAGGTGTGTGGGCAGGAGTGGTTTCTGCTAGATCCCTGGGAAGGCCCCTGTTCTGCCCCTGGGTGGGTCCCAGGGAGGGCAGGAGTGCCTAGGATTACAGCTGGGAGGGGCTAGAACTGAGTGTCAGGGTTGTTTCAGGGTCCAGAGCTGGGACCAGATTCTACAGACCTGTCTCCAGGGGCACTGACAGGTATGCCATCTGCTGGGTTTCTAGATGTGTGCGACTGCCCTAAACCATGGCTGAGTGAGGATGGAGTTGGTTCACAGGGCTGCTTCAGGATCCATTTAGACCAATGTTCGTGGGTTTGCCCTGGGGCACAAATAGGTATCTCCCAATAGGTTCCTGGGCAAGTAGGAATGCTCCTGGATCATAGCTGTACACAAACTTGAATTTTGTATTGCCTTGATTAAAAATCCCTAAGGGATCACACCCCTACTGGCTATAAGAAAAAGGCAAATGGCTAGCTTGATACAATGAGAGACTTCAAAATGTGGTTCAAAAAAACCTATACTGGGCTACTCGCTATTTTTTTTTTTTTTAAGATTTTATTTATTTAACAGAGAGAGACAGAGCGAGAGAGTTCGGAACACAAGCAGAGGCAGTGGGAGAGGGAGAAGCAGGCTTCCTGCGGAGCAGGGAGCCCGATGCGGGGCTCGATCCCAGGACCCTGGGATCATGACCTGAGCCGAAGGCAGATGCTTAACGACTGAGCCACCCAGGCGCCTCTACTTACTATTTTTTAAATGTAATATTATTCACTCTCCTGGTCTGCCTGGTAAATCTCTATTCAGCCTTCTATACCTGAATGCCACTCTACTAAAGTCTTTTCTGAGTCCATTCTCTCAGCCTCTGTAGATATAGCCATTCCATGGGACTTTGTAAAATGCTTTTATTAAACTAATATGCTTTACTGTGATTTGTTACCTAACTTTCTCATGAGAGGGTAAACTCCTGTTTCTTATAATACATTTGGGCACAAGACAGGTGTTCAATGAGTATTTGTTAAACAAATGAATACTTTGGGAAGGTAAGTTCAAGAGTTACCTAGATAGAAATTGTAATCAAGACCATAATATAAATGAGAACAATGGGAAATAGATACATAAGGGGAGGTGGGCCTGGGATAGATTTTGGAAAGATAATCACATCATATGGAGCATTATTTTAAGGGTAATAATTTCAATCAATTAAAAAAAATAAAGTTTTCTTCTGGATAGATCTATGTAAAGGGAAATTAAAGATGAGTTTATGAGTACTGACAGCTATTCCAAATAATTATGTCCTCCATTACTTTGACTGTGTTTCTTATCAGGAGTTCTTTTATGAGATAGAGAACTAAATCTGCCTTAAAGGGGAAAAAAAGACTAAGTAAAAGGTTAGCACCTCAAAGGGCTTAGAAACACTTCTTCATATATTTCCATAGAATAGCAAGGCGATAAATACCAGGTGAGTAGAAAATATTTCACTAAATTTACTACCAAGATGCCCCCATAAAAGTATTTAAATTTATTATTTATAAAAAGATATTGATAAAAAAATTTTTCACAAATAAAAAGACTTTTTAAGGGACCCATGATAGATGGGGACCAACCTGAATTATTATTATTATTTTTTTAAGATTTTATCTATTTATTTTACAGAGAGAGACACAGCGAGAGAGGGAACACAAGTGGGGGGGTGGGGAGGGGAGGGAGAAGCAGGCTTCCCGCAGAGCAGGAAGCCCGACGTGGGGCTCGATCCCAGGACCCTGGGATCATGACCTGAGCCGAAGGCAGATGCTTAACGACTGAGCCACCCAGGTGCCCCACCAACCTGAATTATTAATATCATAGTAGTAATATTCTTCCTATCATATTCTAAATCTGCATCATTCAATATAGGAAATATAGCTACTAAATACTTGAAATGTGGGTAGTCAGAACTGAGATGTGCTCTAAGTAGAATCATGGAACACTACATCAAAAACTAATGATGTAAAAATAAAATAAAAATAATAAAAATAATACATTTAAAAGACTTAGTACAAAAAAATATAAAATCTCATTAAATTTTTTATACTGATCACATAATGAAAAGGTAATACTTGGATATATTGGGTTAAATATATTAAAACTAATCTCATCATTTCTTTTTACTTTTTAATGTGACTACTAGAAAAATTTAAATTACGTGTGTGGTCTATATTGTATTTTTATTGAACAGTGCTGCTCTAAAGAATATAATGTACATATTCTAGTTTTCTGGTTAGCTTCATTTAAAAACATACTGTCATCAGCAGAAATATAATTAAGAGTATATATAGCTAATACTACTGTTCTTATGGTTAAAATATTTAGTAGAAGGTCCACACTATTTTTCAGCTTTCTTTATAACTCTTAAGACCAATGACTAGTTTTTAACTATAAAAAAGTAGGAGTTGACTTCAGAAAATGTTTTCCATAATTAAAAAAATATCCTACAACCCCAAACATATCTTGATTATACTGCTAATGTATGTTGCAGATATTATAAAGTACACATAGAAAAACACAGTCTTCCCCCATTTCTCCCATTAACTCAAATACAAACCAAATCCATCCCTTGAAAAAAAGTGCAAATGATCAAGAAGACAACCATTTTGAATGAATGGAGCAAATAAACACACCTTTCTTCACCTGTGATGTCATTTCTGACTTTCCATTTACTGTAACTCATTTATTTTGAAGACATCATATTTAATTTCCACTGTCTGTATCTCAGACCTGGAAAAATGCAGCCTGCCAGCTATGACTGATTCAAAAGCAAATCCTCCCATAGGAGAGAGGAATCCTCATTTTCTTATTCTCTTGAGAGAAACAGGAATGGAAAAACATATAGGCAGGGGAAATGAAATTAACCATGGATTATATATTTCCTCTAAAGGGCAATTTTTCTCCACTTATTTACTATAATAAGGCCCAGAGAATTTAGGATGACTATGCTGGTGTTTATTTTTTTAGTTTTCCCAAACATTTTAATCTATATCACTGGCATCAGGTCTGGATGTTCCTTTTTTCCCGCATTGTGGTGTCCCGGCTACAGTGGAGAGAGAGATCATCCACATTCTCCAGATCTATCCTCTCTTCTGTTCTCTAATCTCCTCTTTTTCTACTACTTCAATTCTTTTAGTCCAAAAACTTCCTTAAGTATAATATCAAAGACTCCTACTTATCAAGGTGCCACAACAGAACAGGGAGTTAATTTAATGAACTGTGGTTTTAATTTTGCTGTACTGTATGTGGTAAATAAAGAACACCTATCTCCTACTGATGGAATATAAAAGTCCTCATAAATTAAAAAAACAAAAGCAGAAGAGTGGTCTTTCACAATCATGGCTAATAGCCAAGACTATTAACAAAAAGTTTTGACATTTTGGCAATTCTTGGCATAATGGTGACTGTATCTCCATCATAGTTACTAGCATTTAAAATTAAAAGTAGAGTTTAATAAAACATTGCCCCAATTAATTTGTTTCACAGCTGTTTAGATTTACTGAATATAAAACAAAAGTTTTTTCTACCTCAGCTTTCCTTTTCAACTGTGACTAAGATATTCTTGCAATGTCATTTTCCTAAGCACTTAAATTTTATTGACAAGCAGCACTGAATTTCTTCAGCTACTCAGCAATTTAAAAATCCTTATCATTCAGACCACAACTCAGTGCTTCCGTATGTAATCAAATAACCTAGATAATATTACCCAAAAATGAACTTCACAATTCCACTACAAAATTGTGTATGAAAGATTTTGTCCATTAATTTTAAGTCCCATGTCACACTTATCCCTCTCCAGTCCAATAGCTTTCCCTAGCTGGAATCTATTTACCAAGTAATGCCCATTGCTAGGCTCACACTGTTAAGTAATGATGCCCAAAAGTGTTAAATATCACATTTGCTTGGCACAAATATTTAAGTATATATAATTCTTTTTCATATACTATCCACACTGGTCTGAATGAAGTACTTAGTGTCACTTATTGGACAATCAACATAAACCACATTATAATCAGCAAGAATAATGTTATCCAGATTTTTAAAGGGTTGCTCAGGAGAAATAAAAGTAGTGTGGAAAGAACAATGAGTGAGAAATCAAGTGTCCAAAATGCAAAAAAATCCACTGACTGCAGTTTTCTTACTTGTGAAATAAAAGCTTTTAAATTACTTTTTTTTTTGCTTTTATTTATTTTTTTATTCTTATGTTAATCCCCATACATTACATCATTAGTTTT